TTAGATGGTGCAGGAAAGGCTGTAACTTGCATTCATGGCCTTTCCCAGATGAGGTGATTACTGTTCTTTAATGCATTCATATTTTTCAACTATCTATTGTGCTACACAATTCTTTTGTTATTTCTTTACATATCTTAGCTCATTATTTTTGTCATAGGTATAAACAAGTAAAAGGTGATCCCGCTGGATTTAAGACATTCTTGAGGGCCAACAACTTGCCCCTAGGATTAGTTGTTAGATATGTTGGAAACAGGTTGCAAGTACTCTTCCACATGGCTGGTGTGATTGTTTCCAACATTGAACATTTTAAAACATACCTCAGGGATGTCTGCTCTCTCAAGTCAAGTTTGAAGTCTACATTGCTGAATAACTTACAAGATGACAACACAATTAAGCAGCTGAAAGCATTAGCCTTCTTTGGCAAAGTACTCACTGGACCTTGGATGAGTCTTTTCTACAGTAATGAAAGAAAGAATCTAGAAATGGTAAGGTCATTCAGAGTTTAAAATTGTGAATCTCATATCTTTTATTTGATAAAAGTTATAATTATAATTCATATAATCATTCATTCAATTTTAATTATTTATTTTATTTTTAGGCATCTGACATTCAGAGGTCAAACACAGTCCTTTTAAGTTTCGTGAGTGATCCTCAGTTGATGCTCTCTGCAACGAAGGATGTGTTTGGAAATGACATTGGTGACCCTGCTTTCCATCACTATGTAGCTGATGCAGATGACTACCAGCTGATGGTGATGGAAAGATTGGCTGGTGCATTTCAAGCCAAACTGAATGCTCAGTTAAAAGATTTCCAGGCTGGAGGAATCTATGCTCAGCCATCCAAAGAAATGCTGGCCCAAGCAGCATCAGCACCAACCCACAACATTTGGTCAGAGAGGTCTCTTGGGATGACAGATTATCTGTGGCGCAGATCTCCCAATGCTACTTTTGGATTTTTGGATGGCAAAGTGAAAGCTATAACAAACAAAACTGTACAATGGCTGGAGAAACAAGAAGATGAAAGTAAGTTGATCAAGTTTGCTGTGACAAGAGGTGGACAGATAAAAAATGAGGAACTAAAAAGACAGAAGGCTCTGCAATTTGAAGTGAAGGCTCGACAAGAACTGGCTATAAAGAAGAAAGACACTGCTACCAGAAAGCGCATTTCAGATCAAATTAAAAGTACTTTGTACAAAAAACAACCACTGAATACAGATCTACTGGAAAAAACACCTCTTGTCTCCAAAGATATGCTGCAAAAACTGGTCTTTCATCCCGACACACTACAAGGCTCAATCATATCACACGTGTGGGATGTAGATGGCTCAAATACAAAATTTTATGGACATATTAAGAAAATGAAATGCGCTAAAGAAAAACTGATGTTAAAGATAGCATACTGGAACCCTCTAGATGAGAATGAATTTTTGGCTACTGACTATGAACTTGAACTGGCAAATGTAATAACAGACCTGGTGATGGGAGATCTGCTCTTTCTGGATAAAGATATGATCAGGTAACAAATATTTCTTGGTTTAGCAAAATCTAACTTTAAAATTTATTATTCATAATGTAATAAAAAAACAGTTCAAAATGTAATACTTGAACATAACTACTGCAACATGTATTAAGCTGATAACAACTGGCTATTATTTTGACAGCAAAGAATAATTGAAACTGGATAATGATGAACCACATCTTAAAACATATGGAATGCACTAGAACTGGTAAATATTTTTAGAAATATTTTTGCGTTTAATTTTTGGCTAGTTTTATTAACAGGATAATATATTTTACATTTAATAAAAAAAATTTGTTTATAGAAAACATCAAGACCACAGATGATCTACTTCTTCAGGATTGTCCGCAAGGTTAATAGATAAGGTAAATATAAGTCCTTAACCTTTCCTAAGCAAATCTATAAAACTGAAAGCACTGTTTATTAAGTATTATTTTTATATTCTAATAGAACAACACTTCAAGATCAATGTTGAGCCACTTCTTCAGGATTGTCCGCAAGGTTAATGGATAAGGTAAATATAAGTCCTTAACCTTTCCTAAGCAAATCTATAAAACTGAAAGCACTGTTTTTTAAGTATTATTTTTATATTCTAATAGAATGACACTTCAAGATCAATGTTGAGCCACTTCTTCAGGATTGTCCGCAAGGTTAATGGATAAGGTAAATATAAGTCCTTAACCTTTCCTAAGCAAATCTATAAAACTGAAAGCACTGTTTTTTAAGTATTATTTTTATATTCTAATAGAATGACACTTCAAGATCAATGTTGAGCCACTTCTTCAGGATTGTCCGCAAGGTTAATGGATAAGGTAAATATAAATCCTTAACCTTTCCTAAGCAAATCTATAAAACTGAAAGCACTGTTTTTTAAGTATTATTTTTATATTCTAATAGAATGACACTTCAAGATCAATGTTGAGCCACTTCTTCAGGATTGTCCGCAAGGTTAATGGATAAGGTAAATATAAATCCTTAACCTTTCCTAAGCAAATCTATAAAACTGAAAGCACTGTTTATTAAGTATTATTTTTATATTCTAATAGAACGACACTTCAAGATCAATGTTGAGCCACTTCTTCAGGATTGTCCGCAAGGTTAATAGAGAGGTATAAAATTTGCTATTATATTACTTTCATTTTTATACTGTGTAACATATACTAAGTACTAGTGTCATATTTCAGATACAGACCACACTTCAGCAAAAAATAAAAATCCAGCCTTTCATTTAACTAGACCAAATTTCAGCCACTTCTTCAGGATTGTCCGCAACGCTAATAAATAGGTAAAAAAATTAATTACTTGCAATTATATAGCTATACTTTTAATTGTGTGAACGCAACATATGCTGAGTACTAGTGTCATATTTCTGATACAGATCACAATAAAATCCAGCCTTTTATTCAATTATGAGCCAGTTCTTCAGGATTGTCCGCAATGCCAGGAGTGAGGTAAAAGTCATTTTGATTTTTAATTCTCATTTTAATTTTTAATAATCATTTTTAATTATTGTTTTGAAAGATTGCTTGATTAAATGTATTATATCTAGAAAGAGACCACCCAAATACATTTAATATGAGCCAGTTCTTCAGGATTGTCCGCAACGCAAGGAGTGAGGTAAAAGTCATTTTAATTTTTAATTCTCATTTTAATTTTTAATAATCATTTTTAATTATTGTTTTGAAAGATTGCTTGATTAAATGTATTATATCTAGAAAGAGACCACCCAACTACATTTAATATGAGCCAGTTCTTCAGGATTGTCCGCAACGCAAGGAGTTAGGTAAAAGTCATTTTTAATTTTTGATTCTCATTTTAATTTTTGATAATCATTTTTTAATGATCATTTTGATTCCTTTTGAAAGATTAATTGTATTTTATTTCAGAAAGAGACCACTCAGCTACAATGAATATGGGCCAGTTCTTCAGGATTGTCAACTTTGCTCAGATTAAAGATAAATGTTTTTAATTTCATTTTCTAAACATTACTACAATAATTAATGAATTGAAGTAGGGTTTTCCAAAATTCAGATTAGTAACTTTACATTTTTTTTCAGGTATATATTTCAATATTTTAACTACACACCAGTTTGTTGGATTATTGAACAAGTTCAAAAACTGTAAGTAAAATGCGGAAACTTGAAGGCTTGACGAATGATCATTGCTGAGGTAAGAAATATTTATACTTAAAATATGAAGCACTTAACTTAGAAACACAAATATTAAACTTATACCCCATTTATAATAAATTCATTGCTTGTTTGCTTTTGTTTTTAAAATAAATACTTTATTTAAAATCAAATTTAATGAGTTTTTTTTTTTAATAAGCTTTATCAGAAATTGCATCGTAAAAACTTATAGTTTCAAAATTTTTTAAAGGTTTATAAAAGAATTAACATTATCTATTTACTTACCCATGTATCTTTATTCTGACCAATTTTGAGCTGAATATTTCAAATAGTTAAAATTTTAACTGAGATTCAGTAAAAACGTGGTTACAAAAATAAAGGGTGGTACCCTCTTATACCCAATATTTTTATTAAACAGACAGATTTTAAACAAAGGTTTTGAGTTTTTCTGTTGAAGGATAGAGTAAACTAGAATCAGGCTAATTTTCAGCTTTAAATTCTTATTAGTTCAAATTTGACTTAATTTTTCTTTTACTTTTTGAGAGAATATCGGTTTTGCGAAAAGTGTAAAAATAAGCAGTATAAAGCCTTAAAAATAACAATTTTTAACTTTTTGACATATTTTTTGATAACATTAAGAAACACATCCATATTTCTTTTAATTTAACCTATTTTGAACTTGATAACTTATATATTTTCAGTTTTAAGTGCAATTATATAAAAGCAATATCTTTGCAAAAATAGGGGGGGTCCCCTTTCTCACTGCAATTATTTTAAAATTCAACCTATAAATTTCTAATTTTTTTGTTTATTATGCTTATATATATGATAAATAAAGTTTCTACAAAGTTATAACAAATTTGATCGCTTGGTTTACTGGCTATGACAATTTTAGTAAACGCTTAAAAAAACTCTATCACACAAATTGGAAAAAAACCTATGTTAAAAAAAACGCTCTTTTTAATACGAAAAAAAATCATAACTATTTAACCGTTTGAGCTACATCAAAAAGGAAAACTGTTCTGTTATTGTAATTTTTTGCTCCTTTTAACTGTAGTGGTTGTTTCCCTATTAAACCAATTTTCAAAATTTATCCTAGTACCTACTATAAACTCAACAAATTATTTTCAAGTTCTCTGGATTTGCAACTTTTATAGCATTTATTCTAAAAATATAAAATTTCTAAATTAATTTTAGGCTTAAGTTTTTATTTTTTATTTTTTTTTACGGTCTAAATCTAAAAAGCACGTTTTTATTCCATGTCAACAATATTATGGAAGGAATCTCGTCAACTCGCTCGCCTCCATTAGTCTGCTTAACTTTTGTAGCGCGAGAAACAAAACTAAAACCTACTTTGAATCATGAGAAAAACAGTACTGGCCAAACAGGGAACCAGCTTGTAGAGACGGTACAAGTGCCATCACTGAAAAGTATTCAGCTTCTCTTTCTTTTCCCTTTCTTTTATTATGAACCCTAACCCTCGTGCATTTGTTGTTAAAATTCACTTTCGTTTCTAGTTGGGTTTGTCACTTCCGCCTGTCAGAATTTTAATATGCCAGATAGGCTTAGGCAAAAGTATTATTTAAAATTTTACTTTAAATAGTAGGCTAGGCCTATAAATAATTTTATACTTAAAATTATCAGTAAAACATTATACCTATTAAATAATTTTAACATTAAAATGTATACATATAATATATTGCAGATTATCATGTTCTAATCTGCTTGCTGCATCCCCTACTTAATAACGTCGATGTAGCTTTTTTTAGCCTTTGGATCAATGGACTTCCTGAATTTAGACTTTGAGGGTCAACGCCGGCTCGACTATACTCGTCAACCGATTTTTGTTATGCATTATGAACCGCGAACGGGTATTTGCGTAACGATCGCCAATCTATAACTTCATTTGAGCACATCATTCCCAAACAATTATGGTTAACACAAAACACAGTATCCAATCCACTATTTAGATCTGTTTACCTAAGATAAGTGTTGTAGTTGAACTGCCCATGAGCAGTGTTTCTTCCAGACTTTTTTCTGAGGTGGGGGGGGGGGGGGCACTTGAAATTTGGGGGGGGGGGGGGCGGACACTGTTAAAAGTATATATTTTCTATATAAATTTCATTTCGTTCGATATGCCTGGAAGAAACTCTGCCCATGAGCAACATACATATTACATAACCTTACTCAAAAGATTTTTAGTTTTACATGTCTGTAACTAGCTTTTTTGTTCATTTTGAAGAAATCTAAGTACAATAAGCATATAAGTAGCGTTATTTTAAAATATTTTTAGAAATATAACACCCAGCTTTGAGGCCTATAATTTTAATCAAATTTTATTCATTAGTCAAGTAGTCTGAAGAGAAAATCATCGAATCATGTGTTCTAGAATACACACATAAAAAATTATAAATGGATAAACAGTCAAAGTGTTACCCATATTTGATTAAAACATGCAATTTTTTAACTCATTATATATCATTTAATTTAGATGGATCTTTTTATAATTCAAATATGAATTTTAATTGTTTCCTTTGTATTGTTTGATTTTTATTTCTATTTCAATAATAACATTATTAACATAGACCACTCCCCCACCCCTTTTCCAGTTTAGTTATTCTGTTTGTTGTTTAAGTTTACTTTGTATTTATAGTCTGTAAAAATAAACATGAAAAATTAAATGAAAACCAATTCAATTAATAAAAAACTGAAAAGAAAGATAATTTAAGTTACTACTACTAGGCTACAACAAGTACAGGGCTATCCAGCCATGTGATATCTAAAGATCACATCAAAAGAGAAAAGTATCCCATAAGGCATATATGAAGGATACTATTTAATGTTTTATGCAACTGAACTGGGGTAGTAGGAATTCTAAAATATCAACGCTGCTTATTGCCCATTATACTAAGCTTTTAAAACCCTGGAATATTTTTGAGACTCTGTATAAAGGTACTTAAATATCCATAGTTAATAGTACTATTTACAACTTTCTTGAGTTACATTTAGTGGGCATTGTGTGTTGTAAGGGCCATGCAATCAACTCCATCCTTGTTAGCTGTGCAAATAAATTGGCAATGACTGACCAAGACCTAGCACTGATGAATATATAACTGTATGTGCATTATTATATATGCTGGTAACACATTTTCAGGCAAGCCAGTCTATGGGTAACATGAAGATGAAGTTAGGCTTCCAATATTTCTGTGACCTCAGCATTTGAACATATGTGACACCTTTACCTTCCTCAATTCAGGAACCCATCAGATTGTCAAATAGACCCAAGACAATGAGCTTAACTCAAAACTTGTGTGATTAGTAATTATTGCATCCTCCTATCTCCTTGTCACACCAGCCCACATACATGTAAACAACAACAGCACCCACACTTAAGAACAGTAAGGTTTTCTGATTGAGACTAACACAACCTCTTGTGTTCACAGCGTTTCCTCCAGTTTTGTAACATGTATTCTAATCAAGTTATGATAGTAAAATTAAAAGCATAACTTATGAAAAACAATTATTTCCAAAAATAAATTGTAGTCTGTATTACACAGACATTAACTTTTATTTAATAGTTGAAATGTAACAAAAAACATTTAAATTGCCACCACAAGCTCAGCTAAATAAGCTCCCTCCCTGTTTTTCCAAACCTGTTGTATAAATAAAAAAAATAACACAACCCTTATAAATGGACTTTTGGGTTCAAGGTTTATTCATCATGAATAAATAAATGCCTACAATATGCAGGGAAAAATGTTCAATTTCATTGTGTGTGCATCACTTCCTCTGTGCCATGAAATGGAAGTTGCTGAAGCGATGATGTCATCCACATACAACTTGGAGCAGTTCAGCTAAAATGTTCACTGCCATAGTAAGCTAAAACAGAATATTTATAGTTTAGTAAAGTGGATAATACAAATATAGCAATTGTGGATAATACAAATGAGGCAATTACAAAATTCAATCCAACAGCCTTTATAATGCAAAAAAAAAGATAAATTATTAATAACTTATTAACCTTTCTTTTACTAAAAGGAAAAGCCTAAATCTGCAATTTAAAAACAACATACAACAGGGCAAATTAAGATAATAAATTAATGAACCTTAGAGGAGAAAGTGGTGGTGTTCCTTCATCTGCACCTTTCAAGAAGCCTGCAATGTAAAAAAAAACAATGTTCAGCTGGTTCTTTTTTAAAATTCTTACCCATTAGTAGTACCATAATATCTTATTAGAACTAGGGTTCAGAACTATTATCTACATTTTAAAAACAGCACCAGTGCGCCTACTTCTTTTAAAAAAGAAAGTACTGTCATAAGCTTTTTTTGCAGAGTACACAGAAACAGGTGAACTCTACTTCACTTACCCCAGGTTTGAAAAGAGAACTTTTACTGTCAAAAGCTAAAAAATCTAAAACTATAACCAAACATAGTGGTTTAGGCATGATGTGTTAGAAACCCAATGGACCATCATGATCTTTCCCATTCATGCACTAGGCAGACACATATGTTCAGATCAACTGTTTCAATAGCCTTGGCATGCAGGGGATAATGTCGTCTGCACCATGCCCTGCCACCTTAGTTTCCCAAGCACGAATCAGGTATCCAGCAGGTGGGTGGACCCAAAGGACATTATACAGATTTGAGCCTGGATCTGAACTCCAGACTTTCAGATTTGCAGTTGTTAGATCTATCATCAACCATGAGGTCCCATATGACGTATGTACCCACAAAAAATATGACGTTAATTGTTAAATGAATATGCTTAAGGTTTGCAATTCTATAAAATAAATTCAATAGTACTTTTATTACTTAATAAATCTAAGTATTAGTAAGTATGCAGTGATATTGATAATGCTTTTAATAGTGATATAGTCCTACAAAAATCAGGTTATGGTTATGTTATGTCCGACCTCCGACAGCCGCGGAGGAAGCGGACGCCCCAGGTTCGTTTGGTATGGTACCGATAGAAGACGTTGTAACGGAATCTCAACAACTTGCCGTGAGCTCGTTAATACAGTCTAGGGGTAAAACACGACAAATCGAAGAGACTCACACGACTTAAACTATGAATACCTTTTTAATTTATGTACAAGATAATGACACTAGGTAAGATCAAAATGTACAGATTCTCAGTGTAATATAAATAAACTCAACTCCAACTTACAGTTTGAGAAAAAAATCACAATACATCACAGCTGTGATAAATCATTACTACACACAACTGAATTGGCCTCATAATAACCACAACAAAAAACCAAGGAGAGACAATTTGCCTCTACAACAATAGAAATCCTTATACAGGTTAAACTATCACCGATAGTCAAAAAGGTGTAATAATACACCAGAACACAAATTCAGTAAACTACACCTAGTCACATAATTCCTTATACAAAAGGTGAAATCATGTCACAAAATAATAATACTGCAAAATGGCGTACCTAACCACAGGCACACCTCTCCTGGTCCCTAGGTCAATCTGGCGGCCTCTGAACTTGAGAATCCCGTGATTAAATACAACTCAGAGTAAGGGGAAATAACTCAAAAGTCTTACGACTATTGGTTGAGGGTCAGTCAAGGATCCTCACGGTCGCAAGTCCATTGGTTGAGGTTCTGCCAGGGATTAAACTTACAATCACATGATGTGACAGCGTTCAGTTGACCGGGTTGTACCAGTGAACTGACAATTCTCCCAAGGACAAATACATAACCCAGGAGGTTAAATATACATAAAGCCAAACAGACCTAAGTAGGTCACAGTTACTATCACACACACACACACACTGTGTCTACTCAGAACTGGTGCAGAATCAAGAATGTAAATAAATACTGTAATCATAGTAATAGTAAAGTTGTACCTTTTCTATTAATATGTAGATTTAAATCTACTCAAGAATTCAAGATTGATAGATCAGATCTAAATTCTAGATCTAAATTGATATTAAAGGTTAGTTAATCTAGTTTAGACTAGCCTGTAGTAAGTCAATGGCAAAGTTATTTTAATCTAAAACTTGTTTCTAGAGAATAGAGATGCTTGACTGTGACTGGTGATGAAATGGAAGCCACAGAATCCTTTCATCATATTGTTGACATGGATAAAATTATTTTTTTTACTTCATAGCTGAGGTAAAAATAATAAATAAAACTTAAGCTTAAAAATAAATCAGTAATTTAATATTTTTAGAATCAATGTTAAATTGCAAATCCAGAGAACTTGAAAATAATTGGTTGAGTTTAAGGCTACATTTGTACTTATCTTCATCAAGCCTAAGTTATAACCTGATGTTTCACTTTCGTAAGACAAACAGTGATTGGCTGTACAGCACTCCTTGATCGATTTCTGACAGCTTCACATCATAATTTTTTGTTTACAAAATTTAGCAGATAAGTTGTTAAATAATAACGCAAATTTAAACCATTATGAGTTATGACCTATTTTTCCTTTTTTTTTCACTTGCAATTACAATTTGTACAATAAAATGTATGCTATCAAATAGCAGGATACTATTGTCATTGTTTAAGTTGCCATTACATGTGAAAACCAGACCAAAGTGTTTTACTTTTTTTTAATTTTTATTTACTTAGCCTACTGAAAATATAAAAAATATCATATAGGCCTAGATCTAGATCTCTACATCCAACCTTTGGTAAATTCCAAAAAAAAAACACAAACAGACAGGTTTTTAAAGTCATATTAATTTATAGGCCTAAACAACGCCACTCATGATTTTAAAAATATTTAATGGGCCTCTCGGCTCAAATAAGTTTTGAGACTTTTCTCACTCAGGTCCATTAGGCTTACTGAAAATACTTAAACTAATCCGAATCGTCAAATAGTATAGATCTACACTACTCTACATCAACTTTTTAAAAATCCAAAAAAACCAATCGTTTCTATTCAGAGTCAGTCAGTTGAGTTAGATCTGTTAGAATCTAGAAATCTAGATCTAGTAGATCTAGATATCTAGTAGTCCCAGACACTACTACAACTGCACTCAGTTGTACAGGCAACGTACTAGAGTCTAGCTCTAGTTACACTAGTACTAAAAGTCTAAAACTACTTACTTTACTTCAGTACTACTAGATTCCCTAGACTAGACGGCCTAGATCTAGATTCTACTGTTTTTACTACAGACGACAGTTAAGTCTGTAACTTGACTTTTTCTTTTTACTTTTAGTTTTTATTAACTAACTTTAAAACTTAACTTTACTAAACAGTAAACTTGAGTAAACTAGCTGGTCGTTACCCGTTACCGTTACCGTTATTTTATTTCCCAAGGCCTAGATCTAGATCTAGAGTAAAGTGGCGTCTGCGGACAGTCGTAGCAAAAAAATCGGAAGTGCCGATTTCCATTGAGCGCCATTCAGTAACCGCTTCACATAGAAACAAACCGAAAGTACCGTCTCACTCCGCATTCTTTCTAGTTTAATCACGTCTGATTCATTTTGTATTCATACGCATAGCAATGAATGTATTAACATTTTCAGTGGTGAGACTCTGTGCGGACAGTAAGTGCACTTTTTTTTACATTTTATTTTCTGTGCGGACACTTGCTCCTTATGCGGACAAGGCATATTTTGTTCATTTTGTTTCTATTTAAATGATTGAAATAAACATGTTACATACATAAATAGTGTTGTTGATTGTTTTATATATTAATATATTGGAAAACAAAAAATATGAAGAAATATGAAATAAGTTTTAATTAAATTAAAGTGATGCCTGAAAGAAACTCAGGACCCAGTTGAGATTTTATTTCACTTTTTGCTTAGTAGACACGTTTGATGATCAAAAATATTTTTAAAACCTAAAAACATCACTAAAAACTAATAGATCTAGATTTAGACTTAATTTAAATATAAATCTGGAGTATCAAGATTAGTTTAAAGCTCCTTTTTACTTAAAGTGTAAGAAATATACTCTGATTTTTCATTAGTGTCCGCAAAAGGTTAACCCTCAAAAAAGATGCGAACACTCCAATTTTTCCTCTAAGATGGCTTAAACAACCTTAACTATGATATTTATAGCTTTCTATATATATATATAAGCTATTTATAGTTAACCCAGTTAACTAAGCTATGATTGGTTCGATTTATTCCTCTAGTCCGGGGACTAGTGCTCTTCATCCGGGTGAGGTTTCCTACCATAAAACGTCATACATCGCAACTTTGAAAAATTCCAATTAATCTCCCTATTGAGTGAAATAGAAGAAATGGACTCAAATGTGTTTAAAAATGGACATGCTTTGTGTTGTTTGCGTTAGTTTCCTATAAAACATTCATACAATTATTGTTTTAAGCGAAAAACAGCAAAGTGTCCGCACAGAGCCGGACAGAGGCAACTGTCCGCAGACGCCACTTTACTCTAGATTCTTCTAGGCCTACACTTACAGTACAGGCCTACACTAAAGTAATTAAATTATAAAATAAAACTTGAACGAACCAAGAATGAGTACAGTAGGAATGAAGCCATAATAGAAGGTTAGCCTCACGCCAGTCATCAATGAAGAAACTCGTTCTCTGGTCGATGACATTTTGATTTGTAATAATGATGTCAACGTTTCTTCAATGTCAACAATGTGCGCAGCGGTTACAACGCTTGAAAGGCCTAGAAACGAAATATTGAGTTATATCCCTTGGTAGCCTAAAAAACTATTTCTAGGCTACATTCATTACTGGAACAAAATAAATTGTTTTAATAAATTATTATAAACCTAGATCTACTATTTATTTTTGCTTTGGGATAATAATAAAGCATATTAAAGATGTCTGATGTGGGGGGTGGACTGTATAATGGGGGGAAAAAGGAAGATTTTATAAAACATGCCATTGCATTCTAAACCCATAAAATTACTTAGTTATCGTATTGGATATGGCCTAAGAAAAGGCAAACTGAATGCTACTAGTTCTAGTAGTACTAGTGTCAGTGTAGGCTACATGAGGACTGGTGTTAATGCAAGATTAACGGAAGGCGATGCTGCTTCAGCAACAGGCTAAATAAATAGAGAAAAAACATTAACTAAAAAGAAATAAATTATGATCATGGATTGCTACTGGTCAGGTCAATATGAGTAAATTACCGACTGATATAGTTTTTAAATTATTTGTGTAACGGTTTAGACTTAGAGATATACTTAAGAAATAACACAACAACAATTAATACAGCAGCATATGACATGACGAAATTGAAGACCGAAAGTCCAGTAAGAACACTCTCAAAAGCGAAGTATGTGCACAATCACCATGGTGTTTTTCTTAACCATGAGAAAACTGCATCGTTTTCATCTATTTAAAGTAGTCTGCGTGATGTGTCTGTGATATTCAAGTTTCCTGTCGGATGTGCAAATATCAGTTGTTAAGGTGATGTTTTAGTTGCTGTCTGATGTGCATAAAGCAGCTGCGCAGGTGATGTCTCCTGTTTGTCGTACCAAAAATATTTCTCTAACACAAAATCTATCTATATAATTCTCTTCTGGGAGACGCTAGAAAACAAGCTGTAAACGCGCTCCCTACCATCCCCACCCCTACATGGTCTTAGTGAGCTGTGGTTCACGCTATGTTTACCTTCGTGGAGTCGGGTTTAGTGACGGCTATTAGGGGCAGATAATTTAGTTTGAAACGATTTTAAACGTTGGGGGTGGGGGTTGGGGAGGAAGGGGGGGGGTTATGGTCCTTAACGAGCTACTTATAGTGTTTTAAAGAAATATTTTCAGTGTCAACGTTGGTACTGTCGAATTCACAAATTATGAATTACTGAAAAGTAGAAAAAACAACTAAATAGCGGAGTATGGTATGCCGCGGGCCGGCTCCTAATAATTATTTCATACATTTTTAAAGTGCACATTTTTATGTTTCAGACAACTTGATTGCCGCCCTTGATTTTCCAACAAGGAAGAGATAGCCAGCTAATACTACTTACTATAGAGTTAGTAGATCTTGTTAATTTTACAATGCAATGCTTACAGTTTACTACACCACATAAGCTTAACATATGAAAATGCTACAGGCCCTATAATATGTACTAATGTGTAGTGAGGGATTTCTCATTGAATGCCAGAAACATGACAGATTTAGTTGTACAGGTCATAAGCCATAATCATTAAATCAAACATATAATAGTCATATACTACCATTACATACAACTACAACTCAGTTTAATGGATTAATCATTCAAATGGTAAGAAGACCCAAGAAATATATTTAAAAATGTATTGTTTATTGTTAATCAAAACACAAAAGTAACATCATTTTAAAAATAAAAATAAATAAATGCTATACCTACTTGTATGGCTTCTTTTATTTGCAGTATCAATACACAATTTGATTAGGTCGAGATGACATTTAGTGTAGTACAGTCATTCAAATACAAAAATTAGGCTAATTAAAATTATTAAATTTGTTAAGAAGTTTACCACTTATACATATCAAGAAAAAGAAAATCAGAATTTCAATTAACATATCCATTGATTTGGATGGAACAAAATGAAGTACAGATAGAAAACAAAATGTTATTTTAATAAATGTTTAAGTTTAAAAGATAAAATGGTACTTTAATTATTGGTATTCCTCCAAAACTAATGTAATAAATTAACTTCAAGTTGAATTTCACACTTGATGTCATACACGTTAAATCAACATGTAAGAAATTCAGTTAAGTTATTGTATGTATTAAACTATAGTTAAGAATTTTGGTACAAATGCTTTATTTGTCAAATCAACATGTATTAAAAACAACATGTAATAAATTGAGTTTTATTTATTTTTGACATTCAAATAAATTAAATGAAAGGCAACTATCCAATATTAACTTAAACTTAAAGAATTTAAAAAATCTTCCAAGTAAACAAAATATGATAAGTAAGTAGCAATAAATGAGCTAGTATACAGAATTTCCTTTTCAAATTTAAAAATAATCACCTGATTAATTTTTTATTTTTTAACAAGAAACCAAAATTACATCAATCAACTTAACTAAACTACTGTCTTCAACATCACCAAAGCATGGTTTTTACCAATTCAAAACTAAATAATGGAACCATAACCTTTTCTTTTGGCTAATGCAAATTTTTCTTCTTTTTTTTCTCCAAGTAAATATCCTTATAACAGCCTATCTCCTGTGCAACTATCCTGGCAACTCTACAACTCCTCTCTCTGTTTGCATCATCTTCATTGATTATTTTCATTGCATGATCAATATGTTTGAAAAATTCTGCTAAACGTTTGACTGTAAAAACTCTGGACAGTGCAGCTTTTGAAGGTCCCTCTTCCTCATCTTCAGTAGCAGTTTGCAAGTCAACCTGTTCATCTTCAGAACGCTCTTCACTGTGGGAGGCAAGAAGTTCTTCAATATCAGACTGTTCCATCCCTTCAAAATCAGCCTCATAGGCCAGGTATGAAATCTGTTTTTTAATCATCTCAAGTATATCTATAATTTGTTCTAAGCTTGCCATATCTGACACACAGTCAGGCCAAATTTTTTCCCAAGCGTTATTCATACATGAAGAAGAAACGTCTTCCCATGCATCAGCAATGTTATCGATCGCTTTCAAAATGTCATAGTTGTTCCAGAAGTCTTTAGGGGTAATTTTAGTCTCACCATCAGTAGCTGATAAAAGCTGCTGGACAAGATGCTGTAGGTAGTAACATTTGAACAGGGCGGTGATGCCCTGATCCATAGGCTGAAGAAGGGATGAATCGCTGAGAGGTAAAAATGCAAATTTCACATTGTCTGACAGGTTCAGGAGATGGGGCGGATGACAGGGTGCTTGATCTAACACGAATAATATTTTAAAAGGTAAATTTTCTCTAGCGCAGTATTCTTTTACAGACGGAATGGCATAAGCATTCAGCCACTCTTCGAATATTGTCCCAGAGAGCCATGCCTTCTTGTTGGCTCTCCACGTGACTCGAAGATGTTCTTTAGAGTAGCCTTTCAGTGGTGTTGGTGTCTGAGTGTGGTACACCACTAAAGGTTTGAATTTAAAATCCCCTTCTGCATTGCCTCCCAAAAGAAGAGAAAGTCTGTCATTGGCTGCTTTAAACCCTGAAGCTGCTTGTTCTTCTACTGACATCATAGTCCTAGCAGGCAGCCTTTTCCAGTAGAGGCCTGTTTCATCCACATTGAACACTTGTTTTGGAGAGTAACCCCCTTCATCAATAACTGCTTGTAACTCTTGTGGAAATTTATGAACTTCAAAAATATCCTCACTCATCTCCCCTGACAGTTGAATGTCACTGAAGCATGAACGTTTTTTGAACCTCTCCAACCAACCACGGCTTGCCCCGAACTCTTCAACCTTTGCCCCCTTGGTATTAAAACTAGTAGCCAAATCGCTGTAAAGCGATTTAGCTTTTTCCTGGATAGCACTAGCAGTCAAGGGCACGTTGTTTTGGTTGTGGTCTTGAATCCATACTGCCAGTAGAGATTCCATCGATTCCATGAGAGCACTTCTGCTACGTGTAATCTTCTTGGCATTTAATGGCACAGCATGTTTGGCACCGGCTTTAATCTTGTCAGCATTCTTTCGGATGGTTCGAACAGTAGACGGAGGAAGATCGAGAAAGCGAGCAATGTCAATCCCCTGTTGGCCTTCCTCGTATAGTCGAAGAACCGTCAGTTTCATATCTAGATCAATACTCCGTCTGTTACGTTTTCTATCGGGACCGGAGTGATGAATGCCTTGACTAACGTAACTGTCGCTATCCGAATCGTGGATTTCACGTTTCACTGGCATTCCATCCATCGTCGTTATTTTATAAAGTAGCACACGAGTACGACTAAAATAAATTAAAATCGAATATTGTATCTTGCCCTACGATATATTGTTTAACTATTTCTTCTTTTACGTTATATTTTCCTTGTAATGCATACCCAAAGATACGTTGATAATTGTTTTGTCTTAAGAATTTACAGGTCTGTTTTTACACAACAACAACAACATTGTTAACTTGCAAGTTAAAATGGCGTCGTTAGTTGCAGCAAGTGACGACGAGGCGACGCTACGCGCAGGGCACAAGGTTCCAACGTTGGCGAAGAGAGCGTAGTGGTGTGCAGCGTTGTAATAAGGACTGATATCGAATTTAGTGTTGGCCAGGAAAGCGTATAATGGAATTTCGGGTTATGGATAGATCTAGGCTAGATCTATATTTTGTAAATGCATGTTGCGGAACATGATTGTAATAAAAGAAAAATACAATACAAATTTTTAGTCATAAGCTGTATTAGAAAGTATTGCGTGTGTAAAAAAAAAGTGTTTTAATAACGTGCTGGTATGAGTAGACGTAGAATAGAAATTATATTTTGGTTCTGAAGCTTTGGAAATAAAAAACTAGATCTAGATCTAGATCTAAATCTATTTTTTCCCTCTAACTCGAAGCACAAAATGTACAACAAAAGCCTAATCACTAGATTTGAACTTTAAAGTTAAAAATAGATAACCAAGTAAAGATTTTTTAAATTTTATTTTAATTTTTTTTTAAAAAATACGTATTCGAAAAAAAACTCCATACATTGAAAGTTGGCCAACTAACATTTTTAAAAGAAATTTCGTTTGATAGGAATTAAGCTAGATTCTATATACTATATTGGGATAGCAGATAAGCATAAATTAATCATATACACGGAGTTTCCTTAACCCACATGAATGATGGGATAGTTCTCAGCTGATTAGCGTAGGCCGTTCTATAGGGCGTTGAGTGGGATGGTTGTTTTAACTCACTTTAGTTCGGCTGGTTATTTACTCACTAAACAGGGTGGCTACATTTAAAATAAAATAAACTTAGTTTACTATTATTTTGTTTTAAAAGATAAAATTAAATATGATAAATAAAGATATCGCCATGTGGTGATGATCAGAGTTTCTTCCAAAGCCCCCCCCCCCCCCCCCCGAAAAAATTCTACCGCCCCCGCCCACCGAACGAAATGAAATTTATATAGAAAATATATACTTTTAACAGTGTCCTCCCCCCCCCCCCGAAGAAAGTCTACCGCCCCCCCCCCGAAAATTTCAAGTGCTCCCCCCCCCCCCCCCGAGAAAAAAGTCTGGAAGAAACACTGGCGATGATTCTGTCTCGACCCTCGAAAACCTAGCAAAACACGTATTATATATTATTTATATAACGTGGACTGAATTCCTTATTCGTGTTTTATTTTAGGAATTATTTTGTCCTTTTATCTATTTAACAACACTTATCGGTCTGTTAAAGTCCACCACAGTCAATATATTAATAGAAACAATTTTACCTGATAAAAAATGGACTTCTGTACTGAGAGTCTGAGACAGCATCACAGCCGTACTCCCCCCCCCCCCTTCATCTTTACAAGACATTGACCAGGAAGGGCCGTGACCTATTGAACCCTCGCCTTCTGATTATGCGGGACAACTCCCACGCGCTCTTCCTACACCCACGATAGGAGACCAGCGCTAACAGATTGATTGCCCCTGCATGTTTGATGTAGATTTTTTTTATACCATTCCCAACTAACTCAATTCAAATGAACTAAATTAACTTCACGCTTTTCTCGACTCAGTTCACTTCTATTTATAGCACCAATACGATGTGTAAATATCCTCATGATAATCGACATAGGCCTACTGAAAGCATGTTGTCAACTAAATTAAATTGTACCCTGATTTAGTGATTAAGCATTACTGTTCAACAACAGCCTTGTTTTTTTTTTTAAAGTAGTGCTACCTACCACAGTAGGCTACTAGGAATACATTGCTGACTTCGGATTATTAATGGAAAATAATGTTCAAACATCTAGTAGCTCCCGATATTTTAAGACTAGTGATTACATTTTTAAAAAAAATATCAGTTAGTGGTTTAATTATTACAGCAGAATGACGAGAATGTTGAATAGTTTTATTTATTAGTGCAATGTTGAATGAACTATGATAGTCACAATTAACCTCATTACATTAAAGTAAGTGCAGTGATAGGACTATCAAGGGATGGGTGCAAACATTTGTGAAAACACACTTTGACAATGTTATTTTTTTCAAGGTCTTCATAAAAATGTGCTAATGGTAATAGTGACTTACTTTACATGCCTGGATATGAATATGTGTGACTATTTCCTCATACACAAACACCATTCACACACAAACATCACTAACACCATTCACACACAAACATCACAAACACCAATCACTCACAAACATCACTAACACACAAACACCAATCACACACCACTAAGTCAAATTCAACTGACACCCAGAAACAATTTAGTAAAAAAAAAAAAACAAATTAAACACAAGTACAGATTATTATGCTTGTTTTATTTATAAATTGAAACATGATATGAAACTTCTGGGAATGGTGAATAACTATAAAATAGCAATCGAGAAATATTATTTCTGGTCTGTACATAGGATATTCACACTGTACACATCATTAAATTATTGCATCAAATCCATCACACGTAGGTCAAGACTACATTTGCGAAAAATGCAAATGGCTTCTAATAATTTAGTTTACAAAGTTGTATTAAAAATTAATTATATAACATTAACAAGATTGTTTCTTAACAAACACATCTGTAAATATCAATTGCCTTAATCATTTTTAACATTGCTAAAATGAACACTATCTTGAACAAGCTATGTTATCAAAATATTTCAGACTAAGACTTATTTAATATTTAAATATTTTTTTCTATTTAAACAATATGGATTGCTACTAATTTAAAAATAAACTTGGTTGTGTTCCCTTGTTTGAAAAATAAAAACTCCAAAATTTTGTCAGCTCTTCTAAAAACTACATAATTTATAGTCTAGTGATAAAAAACTAACATTTTTGCAATCTAGCTCTACCTATATTTAATTTCAAAATACCTTTTCATTTGTAACTTATTCAATCAAACATCTAAACTTGAACATTACATTATTAAAAATCACATTTAAGTTGTAATCAAAATTTGAATGAACAATGCTCAAATATACTCAGTAATAAATACAACAGGAATTTATGAAACAATCTCTAATTTGAATACAAAACTGCAATAATAACAACATTTTTAATTTAAAATTACGCAGTCAAAAGGACATATAATTTCTTCCCTGAGTCAAATGAACATCAAACTACAACCTAATTGGAATACATTTGATAGAAATTTTAAAATATTATTAGAATATGAAGAAATATTTCTCAAACAGATTTTTTCCACTTTCATTAAAATGAATTTTTTAAAATAAATCCAAAATTTCATTGTTTTTCCTGTATGCACTTAATCATGATTGTAATATTTAGCAAGTAGAGTCCATCACCACAATAATAATACAGGTTGCTGTTGGTTTTAAAATAAATATCTGCTGCTTAAAATGATACCTCTTCAAAAGTCCCTTATTCGAAGAATACATGTCTATATAGATAATAATTAACAACAGTATTTACACGGTTTTCAAAGACTGATTGCATTACAGACACCCCAGTTCAGCAAACAATAAATTACAAGGTTGTATATAACAATCATAAATAGAATAAATAGACCTGAAAATAGGTCAAATGTTCCATTAATGCTCACAGTGGATAATGCTATAAGAAAACAATTTTTTTCTTAAGCCTTAAATAACATTTAAACGTACATAAAGTGGAGTTTAATTATTTTTACATTTGATGGTATGTTTTGATTCAACGCTTATTACCAAAAAAATGCTAATGATTTAATGATCTGGCATTCTAATTAAATTCATAAGTCTCATTCAAATTAATTAATGAAGCTGGTCTCTTTTCTGCTAAATTTTTCAATGTAATTGTGAAGTTCGGTTAGTTGTGATAGGTGCTTCTATTCTAATAGTTTGACTCTAGCATTCTATACATTATAAATTATTTTACTCTCAGCCTTTAAAAAGCTAAAAATAAATAAAAAATAAAAAAAAACTGGTTTTTGGGATGTTATTCCCTTTAATCAGATTTAGCTAGATTACAAGTTAAATAAGTATTTATGAAAAAGGTAAGCGTCATTTCAAACATTTGTTTGGAATAATAAGTCTTGATAACAGCTCTTTTAAACTAAACTACAACAAAATAAATGCCTAGCTGGCTACAACTTCTAGAACTATTCAACAAGACAGTTATACAACAGAGTGCATTGGAAGAACTACAACATCACTGGAGCCCGATCTAAATAAAAAGCCAGGCTAAAGTGAACTAACCGCCATTACAGAATATAATAGCACCTGGTGCAAGTAGTAAATAATCATCAACCTCTGGCACATGTATCTAGTAATGCTTAGCACAGGTAGTTGATATTGCTTAACTTCTAATACAGGTACTTAGTAATGCACAGTATCTTGCAATGCTTAATACAGGTATATTGCAATGTCTAGCACAGGTATCTTGCAATGCTTAACACAGGTATATTGCAATGTCTAGCGCATGTTATCTTGAGGTGTTTTGAAGTAATTTGTTTTTGCACCTAGCATAGGTATTTTAAAAATGCAGCTAATGCTCCGTCAAAGACACACAGGTAAAACCAGTTTTAAGACCTTCAGACCAGGCACAAACTCACTGAAGCATGTCTATGGAATTTATCCAGGTTGGCTAAATTTAACATTTGTAGTTGAATTGAATTTTTTTAATGATGCAAATTTTTACATTGGTTAAGGGTTAACTGTTTTGGTCTTATCAGAACAAAAGAATAACTATCCTAAATATTATAAAAAAACTGTCTCAGCATAAAAAACAATTTGACTCCCAATTTGTGGAATGTAGTTCGCTGTGATTATAAAAATGTGGTATGTTTTCAATTTGTGTACAAGTTGGATTTTAAAATGTGAATAGAAGTGGATGCTACAAGAGATAAATTAAGCTGCCACAAATGTTTATCCGTAACAAAAGAGACTAGTATCTGTAACAATTGAATTTAGAAACCAGTATCTGTAACAACTGAAACTAATATCTGTAACAAGTGATACAATAAACAAATGCAATTATAACTATTATCTGAAATTACCCTAAAACATGTATATAATTTTATCACTGAGTTTTTTTTTATTGCTAATAGTCAGAAGGTATAGAGTCCAATCTGGTAGTTTGGATGCTTATCCATTGCGCGGATGTTATCCACTGTGCGGATGCTATCCAAACGAGGGAAGCGGTGAAAGCGGAACCCCTATAGGTGAAATTGGAGAATGTGCAACGTTTACTGTAGGAAAGGACTGGTCCGATACAAGATACGGAACTGAGTTGAGGTCAAAGGCATTAGGCGTGGTTGGGCGACACTGTCTGGGTGAAATGTCCAATGGTTTGGATAATGCTTGCGTGGTTACAATATCACTGCTGAAGAACGAGAAGGTCCTGTTGGGTAAAGGAGTCTTTGGGACGTTACCACAACCTCCGTAGAAGGCTTCAGCGGCTTCGGTCGGCTCTTGGAACATGTCGATTAAAGGTGATATCGGGTAAGGCACTGGGTGTGAGGGGGAGGAGATGAAGGAGGATCCCACTTGGGGTTCTTTCATCTTGGGGAGCGACGACAAAGGGCTGCTGATATGCAGGAGGGGGAGCGACCCCGGTCTGGTGGCTGGAATTCCGAGGGAAGACACTGGACTTGGCGACGCAGCTGTTTGAGATATGCTACTCGGTGATAAGTTGAGGTTGTGAGAATGCGGGAGTGGGGATAAGGGCGGTAGCGGTGAGGGCGCCGGGAAGGGAAATTGTAGTTGGTATTTTGATATGGGGGGTAAGTTGTAATCCAGAGGAGAGGAGAAATCCATATCCTCTTGGTGGTCACATAGCTGCTCTTGGATGTTATCCGTTGAGAAGTTAAAAATATTGGACGACTGCGGTTGCGTGGGAGTGTGCCCTGAATACGGGTGGTAGGAGAAGGTGGTGGACGTCGTTGGAAGCGATGGCTGGGTTTTCTTCTTGAGGAGGGTCTCAAATCTCTGCAGCTGCTGGATGAAGTTGAGGTTGGGGTCGATGATGGGTCGCCGTGACATGACAAACTCGAAAGCCGAGTCCAGAGAAAGACCTTGTTTCTGCATGATGTAGGCGATGCACACCGTCGCAGACCGGCTCACACCCATTCTGCAGTGGACCAACACCTTGCCATTCTCCTGAGCCACTTCATCTATGGAAAATTAAATAAAAAGTTAAATTAATTATCAAATTAATTATAGGAAAAACTGGCAAAAAATTAGAAAGTTGCGGTTTTATTATTAAACAAATGTTGCAATTTCCTTTAAAATCTGACATCAGTTTATGATTGAGTTTGACTTTTTTTTACCAAGAAGTGGGGTTTGAGTGTCAAAAACTGTCCAAAAAAAATAACGTTACTTAGAAACGGCCAATAATTTACAAATGTATCATCATATACTGACCAATGAAACTGATAATCTTTGGAAACCAGGAAATGAGATCCGCATCCATGTTGTCGTTGATGTGGATGTTCATGTACTTGAACTGAGACTGGAAGAGGTTGCCGCAGTTGGAAGACACGTTCAGCAGGGCTGTGATGCCGATCTGCTCCAGGAGGGCGCGCTGGGAGGAGTGGGAGACGTCGCCCAGGTACAGGTGGGGCAGGATCTCGGCCGGCTCGTTCTGTGGAGGAGACAGGTGAACATTGTATGTGGCTGTGGTTGGGATAAGATGGTGTGCGGTTGGGATAAGTTGAGAATGTGGTTGGGATAAGTTGAGTGTGTGGTTGGGATAAGATGGTGTGTGGTTGGGATAAGATGGTGTGTGGTTGGGATAAATTGAGAGTGTGGTTGGGATAAGATGGTGTGTGGTTGGGATAAGATGGTGTGTGGTTGGGATAAGTTGAGAGGTTGGTTGGGATAAGCTGAGAGTGGTTGGGATAAGTTGAGAGTGTGGTTGGGATAAGCTGAGAGTGGTTGGGATAAGTTGAGAGTGGTTGGGATAAGTTGAGAGTGGTTGAGATGCTGAGTGTGGTTAGGATAAGATGGTGTGTGGTTAGGATAAGATGGTGTGTGGTTGGGATAAATGAGTGTGGTTGGGATAAGCTGGGGGATTGTTTGAGTGTGAGAGTGGGGTTGGGAAGGGCTGCGTGTGTGTTGGGATAAAGGTAAAGGGTGTTGTTGGGATTATCTGAGTAAGGGTGTGGTTGGGATAAGTATAAGGTGCGTGTTGGGATAAGCTGGGGGTGTGTTTGGGAGTGAGAATGGGGTTGGGATTAGCTGGTGTGTGTTCTTTATCAATTCTAAGCACATATGATAATTTTACAACCCATCTCTGTCCAGTGGGTGCGGGAAGGGGGGGGGGGGGTGTCCCAAAACAATGGAGGTAATTTCATTGTTAAAAAATGGGTAGTAAATTTTTCAACAAGTCCAATGCTATAACTACTCGCAATCAATTCAAAGAAATACAAACACACCGAAACAAATGAACAAGAAAAATTTGAAAATAAGAAAACATCCCGTTGAGTGACATCAGCACTGGTGAGTTTTAAAGAAACCGTAAATGTCGTATGGGAATAAATCAGGTATCGGTGAGGCTGGGGAAACGAGTGGGCGGGGATGGAATGGTGCCGTCGCACTGCGTACAGCCTGTTAGAAACTATGCCATCCTCGCTCTCCTATTCCCGATATTTTACACGTGTGATGTCCATTTTGTAGATGTGCGGAAATACGTTATTTATTAACGAAAAACTCATACAATGAATGTTTGTTAGAAAATTTAGAATAGCCGGACGAGGGTACAGTTAAGCCAGGCAGCGTACTGTGCGATAATTCTAAAAACTACCCCAGTAACCGCTGACGTGTGCAAGGCCGGATACTGCTAGATAAGCCGTACATAAGGGAGCCTTGTGTGATTTGCTTCCCTGACCCTAGTGTCCAGATAAAGGAACTAACCCCCCCCCCCCCCACCTTCCATTGCCCCCAGGATGAGGCGTTTCTATTTCCTTATCTGGACTCGAAGTTCAGCATCCGCTCCAGTCTTCCTGTGCATACATACCACAGGACGAGAGGGGGGGGGGGTTACACATTTCCTCTAATCAAAGTACACCGCCACATGTTTAGGTATCCCCCCCTCCCACCCCATCTGCTGGGGATGACCCCCCTCTAACTTTTTTTTTATGCTAGCACGTGCAGACGATACTGGTCAAGATGAACCCTGATCTAATGAACTCTCACTTCCTGTAAAAGCCGCCATCCCCCCATCTCCCTACCACCTCTTCCTTTCCACCCACGAAATCGTGGAAACCATACCCCTCCCTTTCAAGCGATTCATTCTCCTAACTGCGGCGGTACTGAACTACGCGTTCGTGTCTACCAAACGCGACCCACTTTACCAGCTACTTCAATAGCATAATCCGGATTTTTTTTCTCCCCACATTTTACTCCTACGCTGAGCAGGATTAACGTCACGCTAGTCATACTACAATTAGTCAACGACGTTTGAAAGCTGAACATGGTATAATGTAAGCGAATTTAGTTTTAAGAGGAGTAACCAGGGACGAAATAAAAACAAAGTTACCTGTATAGTTTAAAGCTGAAATAATCTATTTTTAAAAACTGAAGAGTTCGTCATGTGTACACATTCAAAAGAACGTGGGCTTGGTCAAAATTAGATTTTTGAACTAAATCTGATGGGAGATATGCTTTGGATTAATTAATACGCCGGGTTTTATGCCTAGAGTAAACGCGCTAACTTCAGAAATCATAATACATAATTATAACACGAACGCGATCATACATGATTATACCTACCATGTACTTTACGTGGGCGATGTATTCAGTCAAATAAGATAGTACTGTTGGATTTTTTTTTTAAAAGAACCAAACAAATGTGTTCATCTGTAACTCCATTTAAGTTTTAAGTATGTCTTTATATACGACTAGTTAAATAAACCAAAGGCTTGTCTGTTAAAAATCGTTGAAAGGAAAGATATTAAGATTTTTTTTTACTTTGAACTCGCCTCCATCTACTTTATTTTTCCCCCCTCCTTTGAAAGCACACCGCTGCCATCTACAGTATAATGTTACATTTAACGCACGCGGGATTGCTGGGTTGTTTCCCTTCAAGCCGGCACTCGACCTGATTTCAGCGATCACATGTCAACCGTAGTTTGCGTGGGTGGGGATACAGTATCGATCTGACCACACGGACAGTCTGTCATCCGGGGGGGGGGGGGGTCCATCTTTAAACACACGGCATCCGGGGTGGGAGGGGGAATCGTCTTAGCACATCTGTGACGTTTAGGGAAAAACCCCACCTCTGCGTGTCATTTAGAGTACAAAACTACAACCCAACCAGCAAAGGAGATCGTACTTGGGCCCCACCAGTATGTTAAAAAAAAAAAATTCTGGGACAAGAACATCCCTCCACTATTCCCCCCCCCCCCTCACACACAAACATGAGCTTAGCCAATTGCGTATAATAAGCCGGAAAATACCGGCGTTTGTGACTGGGTTGTCTCAGAACTGAGTTGTTTTAAACAGGTGTTGCTTTGATTATGGCGGAACCCAGCGATAAAAGGCGGAACCCAGCGATAAAAGGCGGAACCCAACGATAAAAGGCGGAACCCAGCGATAAAAGGCGGAACCCAACGATAAAAGGCGGAACCCAACGATAAAAGGCGGAACCCAACGATAAAAGGCGGAACCCAACGATAAAAGGCGGAACCCAACGGTAAAAACGGAAGTTAATGATACAAAAGTGGCGTGCAGCACCAGAGAGCCTTATAAAATGACTGGCTACAAAAAAAAAAGCACAGTTATACAAAAATATCACATATATACAAAAAAATATCACATATATAAAAATATCACATATATAAACACGTACTTTCTACAAGGGGTGTCGATATATATAAAACACATTTTCCCATATGAAATGGAGTCTACGCTTTCTATATTATTACGGCAAGGCATCTATTATATAAAAGATTGACCTACAAACAGTATGCCACCACAACAGACACTTACCCCCCCCCCCCCCCCCCCACCTCCAATCACAATCTAATGTAGAGGTATTTGATCAATGTAAACGCTGGGGGGAGGGGGGAATGTGTGATAGTGAAAGGGTGGGGGCGGCGTTTAACAGTGTTTCAAAACACTCATCAAATAACAAGCAACATATCCAACCAACAGCAAATACTTCGTCATAGGGGCGTCAATAAAGGGACATAACTACAGTGGATGGTCATAATAGACTATACACAAGCGTCGACAACAAAGGGACGCTACTACGGTGGATGTTATTCCAAAAGCTTTTTACAAAACTCGTTTTTTTTTCTTCCTCTAAACTCAATTAGTCAATAACTGAGCTAGATTGTTTCTAATTAAGCGTTTTATTAACGCAAGAGAGAGAGAGAGAGAGAAAAAAAAATGCGTGGGAAGGTGACGTATTGATCACATGACCAGCGGAACCAATCTAAGAGTGCAGCGTTCTGGCTGTGGACAGGCGAGATGGGGGAGGGGGGGGGGGGTTAGACGGAGGGTGGTAGGGAGAGGGGTGGTGTAGATATTAGAGGGTTGTGTGTATGTGGGGTGGGTGGTAGAGGTTTGTGGAAGAGGGGTGGTATAGAGTTGTGTGAAGGCAGAGGGTTGTGTGAATGTGGGGGAGGGTGGTAGGGAGTTGTGACAATGTGGGGGAAGGTGGTAACGGGTTGTGTGGATGTGGGGGAAGGTGGTAACGGGTTGTGTGGATGTGGGGGAGGGTGGTAGAGTTGTGTGGATGTGGGGGAAGGTGGTAGAGGGCTGTGTGGATGTGGGGGATGGTGGTAGAGGGCTGTGTGGATGTGGGGGATGGTGGTAGAGGGTTGTGTGGATGTGGGGGAGGGTGGTAGGGGGTTGTGTCAATGTGGGGGAAGGTGGTAGAGTTGTGTGGATGTGGGGGATGGTGGTAAAGGGTTGTGTGGATGTGGGGGAGGGTGGTAGAGGGTTGCGTGGAGAGGAAAGGAGTTAGAGGGATGGTGATCGAGAGAGGGTGGGGTGGTAGAAGCAGAGATAAGGGCGTGGAGATTTTAGAGGGAGTAGTGGGATAGAAGGCTTCTAGGAGGGACAGGAACGTGGGTCTGGAAGTCTGGAATCAGGGCGTTAGAGGGGTAAAGCAGTTATAACAGAGGGATGAGTGGAAGGATGGGGGGGGGGACGTTAGTGAAGGGAGGGGGAGAGAATGTTAGACGGGGGGGGGGGGGGTGTTGAGTGATGGTACAAACAGGAATGAACAAATCAAGGATGGTAGCTACTAAAGTGTCGAAACAGGAAAATCAAAGTGCCATTGAGAGCTTTTATGAATGCATTGTATCCTAGTTACTGCTCGACCTTCCCTTCAATGCGGTCGGTTAAAAAAAAACCCAACACTGTAGGTGTTAAGTACTCATGTTCTACAATCACGTCCTCGCGTCCCGTCCAATCAAAACAGTCGATACAAGTAGCGCCACACTAGTTACAGACCAGCTTTTGACCCAGTCAGCCCAAGATCTAATAAAGCACTCTTCAGTGATGGAGTAGGCGGATCGCTCGTGTCAACAGAAGGATCAAGCTTGAAGATGTATCCTTCAAAACATAACGTTATTTCTATCTGCAACATTTCAAGTAATGGAAAAGTAGTTTTAATCTAAACGCATTATACTT